TACATTTTGTTCACTTAAATTGATTATTAAAACGAAACGAAAATTTAAATATCTATCGACAAACCTAGGAAAATTTTGGCCTTGGGCATCGACATTTTTTATATGTACTATTTTGATTAGCATTATTCACTTTTTCTGTTTTGTTGTGGTTGCGTACATTTTTTCTAGCCTTTAAAACGATACGAAAAAATAACTAGGCTTTCATCCCCGAGGCTTACCGATCAACTTACGTGACACAACGGTATCAAATATTACCGAGTGTACTTGTCTTAGAATCTGAGTATTCTTTCTATTTTGACAGGCTCTGAAAGTCTGAGTGTCAGGAATTGTAGAAATATGACAAGCAGACAATGCCAGGAACCAAGTCTTACTTCTTACAATCGATTCTTACTAAACCGCTTTTAATTTAGATCGATCGCTTCTACCAATTCCTCATTGAATGTATGAATATAGTCTTCTATACATGTATATAGGCAAATATTCTATAGTACGTTGACTGGTGACGTGAAAAATTCACTCCTTTTGCCTTTGAACGGGAAACCTGAACTTCGACTCTACAGATTCTTCTTTATAACGACCGGTTTTCTCAGAAGTTTTCTCAGAAAAAAATCCGCATTATACAGAGAACATCCTCGAATATTGATAATCAAACCGGAAGTATTGTAGCCCCTTCGATTGTTGAGATTCGCATTTTCGTCAGAAAACCGGAAGTACAATTATTGTAATTTGCCTAGAAACTAAAACATCACCCAGAGAGCACCGATCACCATCCTGGCCAAACTCCGTAACACAAACCCACCCCCTACCTTTCACCACCCCCTAACATCCACCACACCCTTACGTCTGTGTCTCTCGAGGTAATATAAGAATTGCGTCAATATATTTCCCATGACTTTCTTTGATCGATTCGAGTTGTTGATTGATTACGGATCGTCACGCGATTCGTGGCAGGGTTTCTTTTGTTCTCTGTGTTATCATGTAGAAAAGCTTGACAAATTCTTTCCGTATTCCTTCTCTAGTCCATTGTTTTGCCAACAATTGGAAAGCTGGAGTCCAGATGAATTGGGCTTAAATCGAAGACAAATGTCGTGCCGACTAAATCTAGGTTTTAATTTTCACCTTTCATCATATTTTCCGAAAAAAAAAATGAAAATGTTTGAAAAATTGTTTGAATATCTAAATAATATTACCTCAAGTTGTGCTTGAAAAAAATATTTATAGTGTTATTGCATAAACATATTTTCAAATGCGAGACCATAAATTAGTGGGAGCCGCGGTGGCTCAGTGAGTTAGACGCTTGCTCACTAACCTAAAAGTCCAGGGTTAAATCCCGGCATAGGTCGAGATGATTCCTTCGGATTTTTCAACCCGGTTTCCCCCTATCAGTGATGCAGGTAAGTAGGCTGACATGGAAAAAGCGTCTCGTCGTTTGGATGGGACAGTAAACCGAGGCCCCGTGTGCTACAGACTATGCACGTTAAAGATCCCTCGACAGTTGGAAGAGGAACAGGCTAATGCTGCTGTCCTGGCAAAATTTCCCTCATTGTACCTTGCATGGCGTTCCCCGTCCTCATCAGCCCACATGGTGCAGAAAAGTAGGACCATATTTGCATCCTCTTCATGGAAACCTACTCTATGAGTTGGGGTCCTGCAAATATTTTTTATAGAAAGATGCGTAATGACTTTGAGTGCTAAAATTTTCCCCAATACACACTGCAGGGTGTCCAATAACATACTCTTGTCAAGGCTTTGTGGTTTATTTTAAGCTCAATATAATGTAGAAAACTGAATAGAACGATGAATTGGGGCCCTACAAATGATTTACTCAATGCACACTGCTATGTGTTGAATAACATGCCCCAAATTAATCAAGTCCCTGCGATTGTTAAAATGTTAAAAAATGAGATGTTTAAGAATTCATAATTTTAATTTTCATCTTGGAATGACATAAAATAAACCGAGACAAAATATTTAGAAATTATCATCAACAAGAACAATAATAATCCGAAATATTCCGGCAAATAATATACCTTTTTTATAGATCTGTCGAATAATACCATGAAATATTGATCAAATCGGATTATTTTAAAGGGATTGTAAAGAGGTTTTCTAAATTTTGTATGTATATCGGGGATACTGATAGAATCAATTTGCATCATTCCAATTTTCAATCTGACGTCTGTGGTTCCTGCAATTCCACTAAGTGTTTGATGGCGTCACAAATAGCGTATTTCTATTTACACCAGTCTAATTTTTAGGCTTGGTGTGTGTATCGGGAACACTTATAACGTATGTCTACTCCATTACGATTTTAGTTAAAAATTTGAGATGCACCTTATTTCATTTAAGGTCATTATAGTCAAATTATTTCGGATTAAACAATAAATGCAAGTGAGACTTGTAAACATGTTTGTATTTACAATTGAAAAAATAAACATAAATAATAATAAATATATTTAGCTTGAAATAAACAAACAATAAATAAATAAATTAATACAAATAACAATATTGGTCTATTTATAACGGCGTGTTGGTGCTTGGGTTCGAATTCTTCGTGAACATTAAAATGTGAAAATGATTTGCATATTGAGTGAATAAATTTGCATATCTAAAATTTCAAAATTATTTGGTCAAAATGCGAAATTTTGATTCAATTTTCTATAAGTACCAATAACATTATGAAAAGAATGTTTTTGAAAAAAATAAATAGAAATTTATTTTTTATTTACAATAATTCAAATTTCACGAAGTTTTTGAGCAAAAAATATATAAATAAAACACCAACAAAAGAGACGCTTGGGGTAAGATGAATAAATTAAAGGAAAACTTTCACATACTTCTTAAAGGAAAAATTCCAGAAAATTTTATAAATACGTAAAAAAAATTCAACAGAATAATGGAACAAATTTATTTTGTGCACGTCCAGTTCCGATCATAACATAACAATTCATTCTACGTTGGGGTACTTTAAGTTGTAATCAACACATTGTAACTAAGCAAAATGGTTTCTATTACTATCCTTCTTACCCCAAAATAAAGTGGACTGCTCCTGTGTATGTTATGAACTGATCTGGATGTGCATAAACAAACGGAAAAATACTTAACGAAAATAAGAGCAATGACTAGATTTACTCATCAAACGGCGATAATCACAAAACAAAAAAAAAAAAAAACATGGCCATATAGACAAACATATACAAAGGTCAAAGGTGAAATGTCATTATGAATAAATTATATAACATCTCGAGGCTGATTGATGGGATGTCATGATAATTGATTTCAGAGATTTTAAAACAATTTCATATTTATTTCATGATTTAAGTACGGAAGAGATAAAGCACAGCGAACGATTCCGATCGCCTCGGGGAATTTCCGATAATCAACGTAAATGTGCGGTTTAATGAAAGATATGCCGGAAATGTCAACGGAAATGCTCGATGATTTCCGGATGCGTCGGATTAGCTACGGAAGTAGCTTTACAGTTGGCAATCCATTTTCATTGATTATCGGAAATTGCCGATGATATACGAAACTTGATTACCGGAAATGAAATGAATGAACCGGAAGAACAAAGCTCATCAAAAGAGAAATTAAGAGATTCGTAAAAACCACAGCTCTTATTTGGTTTCGTTTTTTTTTTGTATGGAAAAGATACAATCGTACAAAATATACTTTGAGAACAAAACGAAACGATTTAAATTGATTTTCAAATACCAAAATTTATATAAAAAAAAAATGTAATTTTCTATAAAATTTCGGTCACAGTTATTAAGTGCAATGCCACAAAATAACCTCTAAGTTTAAAAAAACAACAAAGCCACACTGGCAAACACAAATAGGGCACACATTAAGTACAATGCCACAGAGAAATATTCCATTCAGCCATTCCTTCGGCCATTTTGATTTAAAGTTTTTACAATAAGATAACGTTATGTACAATATATTTTTTGTAAGTTTCTATTTTTCTATAAGTTGTATAGGAATAACTTTATTCATTTTCACAATCACATTCATATCGAGTATTCATAGATTTAAGTCATGCGGATTGGCTGCTTTGCCGAAATGCACGTGCATTTGACTTGCTGACACACATTGACCATTTTACGTCCTTGCCAGTTCGTTCATTCTTAAAGGATGTCTTAAACATAGCCTTTGCAGAGCATGTTCGTTCCATGCAATTGTCGTAATTTTAAGTTCACATAGTCGACAGGCGTCATAAGGTTCAACCCTTCACCAGGACCACATTTTCACATACACTGACGTTATGCCGTTGAATCTTTGGGAAAGTCGGCAAAGCACAACCACCGCATTTAATCTCAAAAGTCCTCTTCATTTGTACAACATTTTTAAAAATAATAAGTTAACATTTTGTCCATAGAATGTCATCAGTACACCTCCACGTGATTATGGGAACCCTGGAAATCGGGGAATCCTCCAGAATGTTCGTCCACGTCACCAGGCATCATCCGTTGCCCATGGGGACCACCCATCATCTGCAACGATTCAAGGGGCATCATTGGTTGATGTGACATGGATAATCCCGGCGATTGTCGCCCCATATAATGTGGAAGTTGATTGAAAGGTCCCCAGCAACCGTCGATAGGTGGCGATCCATTACTTCCGTTATTTTGACCTTGACTAATGAGGTCATGATCTAATGGTGTGGTGGAACCGTACAGATCGTCTGAAAGTCTGCCAGTGTTGGAATCAAGATCATCTAAGTTTCCTGAAAGTAGAAATGATTTGACATTTTAGAATTTCAGAAGTCACTTTTTTTTTTGAGTCAATGAAAATATTAAAAATTATGATGGTGTTGAAAATGTTTGCATCAGATCTGAAATGCTCAGAAAGTATAACTTTAAGGTATTTGGTAATTTAGCTTTTAAGCCAGTCTTTGCTTTCTTGGATAAAGGATTCCTTTTTAGTGCCCTGAGTAATTTAATCTCATTGAAAATTTCACATTAAATCCAGCCTTTCCTATGGTTGGGTACATGGTGTCATTACAGTGCCCTGTGCAATATAAACTCTGTTGAAGAAGTCAAAACCTTACCTTGGAAGGATCCGGTAGTCATCCCGTCCTCAGATCGTTCATCAGCACTGAGTGAACTATCCAGCTCGTCTTCTCTCTTCACTCTGAAGTATGGATTCCATCTGTTTCGTCCAGCGTCTTTCTTTAATCTCTTTTCTTTGGCTCTCCGATTCTGGAACCAGACTTGAACGACTCGCATATCCAGACCAGTTTCAGCACTCAATTGTTCTCGAACATGTCGGGCGGGTTTAGCACTCTCGTTGTAAGCTCTTTTCAAGTTTTCCAGCTGCTTGGCGTTGATGGTGGTTCTTGGTCGTTTGTTCGAAGAATCCATTTCGTATTCTGAAATAGTCAAACCTTTAAAATCTGAGTTGAAGCTGGCAATATTGGCATGGTGCCGAGGTCATTTTAGAACATTGTTGGATTGTTGGCGGTGGGTTAGCAGGACAGTTGCAGCAACGGAAAAAGATGAACTCGTTGGAAAATGTTTGGGTAGACGCTATTGCCAATACAATGGTTACACAAGGTTTAGACTAAAATCATTTGGCAAATGCAATATGGCGTCTATGTGACCTTTTGAATTGACCTCAAAACTTTTTAGTAAATTTGATGGCAATATAATGTATTATTTTCAAGACCTTGAAAGGTTTATAGACGATGGTCTATTTTAAGATTAATAATATAAAATCGAACAAACCTCTGGCCTTGGCAGTTTCATAATCTTCTTTACAGACGAGTTTCTTGTCTTCCATCAGATAGAACTCGTCCCCCGTCTTCAGCTTCTCGCTACACATCAAACAGGCGAAACAGTCCAGATGGTAGACATAGTCCTGGGCACGGCGCACAATCTCTGTTGGTGGTATACCCTTCTCACAGGCCGCACACTTTGTTCCAAACCTCCTGTAATGAGAAAAAAATATAGAATTAAATTAAATTTGAATTTGATTTTGGAATTGGAAATTTGGAACTGGAATTTTGAATTGGAATTTGGAATTAGAATTTTTTTGATTGGAATTTTCTAAATAGGATTGTTGGAATTGGAATTTTTTAAATCGGATTGTTGGAATTGGAATTTTTTAAATAGGATTGTTGGAATTGGAATTTTTTAAATCGGATTGTTGGAATTTGAATTTTTTAAATAGGATTGTTGGAATTGGAATGGAATTTTTTAAATAGGATTGTTGGAATTGGAATTTTTTAAATAGGATTGTTGGAATTGGAATTTTTCTTGGTGGAATTTTGCAATTGCAATTTTTAATTGAATTAAAAGAATATAGATAATTGAATATTCAAATTTTTTTTTTTATCTCGTTTAAAATCTAATGTAGGCGAAGAACGCAATGCAGTGGACAATGAGAACAATTCGACCAGGGAATAGAGTTGAAGGTCCTACACCACAACGAAAGTCTGAAATTATTATCATTATCAATATCATTATTATTATTAAATTTCGTGTTTATTTGGTGGTATTTGGTAATAATTCTATTTTCGATGTCGGCCTGTCAATTAATGAAAAGTTTTATTTTGATTGATGTTTGTACTGTCATTAGCTACAGGCGTATTCATTCGAGTTCAATCTGGGGCGTATTCGTCAGATTTTGAATTTTTTTCTCTAAATAATCAATTTAGTTTTTTGTTAAATGTCGTTTTATTTTTTATATTCGTATGACGTCACAAAAAGTATTTGTATATCGATACGACAAAAATATTAAAAATATTGGTTATAAGCAAAGTGGATTCTTCGAAATATTCGTTTAGGCAGGCAGGTTTTGGCTTGATAGCGACATCTGCCTTGGCTCAAACTGCTATCCATTACCACTGCTATAAAAGACGACTTACTGCGATTTCATTTCAAAGAAGCTTCAAAAGAACAGCCCAAGCACTTTAAGGTAGCATAATATTTGAAGCTATTCTAGGTCTCGGCTCTATCGAGCAGCTATATGACGATACCGGTCTTCTCTATACAATACAATATCAATTTCCCACAATGCGTATTTGTAGATAACATCTCGTTAGTGAGATACGACGTGATGTTGATATTTTACGCTTCGCAGAGCAAGTATAATGGCGGCAGATACGGGACATATGGACGAAATCTGGTAAAAATCATACAAAGTTAAGAAAATGTCGTTTTTACTGTTAGATTACCGCCTTTTCCTTTTATCTTGACAAACCAAGCATTGAGTTACTATTGTGTCCCCTACAATTAAAATACCCAGTGAGTCGAAGCGGAAGGACATAAAATGGGTTTATGGGATACGGATGAAGTCGTGTATTTGTGCCTGTAGTTTGTTAAACTACTGAAATCACCTGAGATCACTCTGCTATTACCTGGTCCATCTGTCGATAAATTTTACAGTACATGTGGATTATGCAATTCTACAAAAACTAAGTGTTGGATGACGTCACTAATCGCAAAATATAATTTAACACCTAAGGCCCTACGTGATTGATAAGTGACGTCGCCAAACACATAGTTTTAGTAAAATTGCAGGAACCACAGACATCTGATTGAAAATTAGAATGGTGCAAATTGGTGCTATCAGTATCCCCGATACACATAAAAATCTAAAAAATCCTCTTTACAATCTCTTTAAACTACCCATTGGCAAATGAAATCACCTGAGATCAGTCTGTGAATACCTGGCCCATATGTCAACATTTTTTACAACACGTGCGGATTGGGCAATTAGGCCTAAATTAGATTTTAATTGCATTATCTGTTTATTTTGTCATCAAAAATTATTTTCAAAATAGCTGACGCGATTAAAAATAATAATTTCAAAATTAGAAAAATAAAATCTCATTAAAATATTTTTTGGAATTTGTTTACGTAAATAGAATTTTTTTTTTTTATTGTTACTGGCCTTTTTCTAAAATAAATTCAAAGAAAATGTCGAGTATAGTTCTAAGCTCAGTTAATCTAGACATGAAATGAGTTAAAATATAATATACCATATAGATAAATAAGTATATTCATTTCATAAAGCGTGGAATTATTTAGAACCTAAAGCATTACGTCATTACTCCAAAACTAAGAAACGCACAACAACAATAATTTTGAAATTTTTGTTATCATAGGCGCTTCTGATTTTCAATCAACGCCACCTGGTGAATAACCATATAATATATCTGCTAAAAACTCAATTTATGACGTCATTACTCCCGAAATTTTATCAACAGTTTATTTCAGATCCAAATTTTCGCTTTAATTTTCCTTCACCGCTACATGATGAATAGACCTTTATTTTGGAAAATCCAATTTATGACGTCACTTCTCTCGAAAGTTTATCAACAGTTCATTAATTCCAGATCGGAATTTTTGCTGTTATAAATCTGCGCCTATGATTTTCCATCAAGGCAATATTGATATACCTGCTAAATTTTTCATCAGCTTTTTAAGTGCGTTCATTATCTCGCGAGGTTCATAATTAAAGTAGCTTTCAATAAAATAAATCTGTGTGTGTACATTAGGGACCATGTTGGCTTTATTTAAGATTTGCCTAAACAATAAAAGCAATATCAAACTTATGAATTATGTACGTCTTCTTTAGTGCACGTGAAATCATTCAGAATACGTAATGACGCAATTTAAGCGCGTGACTTTTAGCGCGGAAAGAAACTTATTTATTATTTACGTATTTTTCATGTGTTTAGGAAATCGAGCATCCATTTGGATAATTAGAATTTTTATTTATGTTTTTTGTTGTCAAAGCCGTCTTTGTCTTGCGAATACATCTCAAATTTGTACATCAAAGAAAAGCCGCTATGTTCGTTATGCCTGAAGAAACACGTTGCAGGTATTCACTAACTATCCTAGCTTGCAACGTAAATAATTAATGCCACCCATTTTAGAACACCGGTCCCTAGCGGCTTTTTAGTCTTTATAATTTATGGATAGATAACTCTCCTTGACAGTAAATATCTACTTCATGATCGAGGCTATAAACGTTCAAACGACATTAAGTCAACCAAGCAGAACTGCGCGCGCACGTGAAATGTCAATTTGTGCCTATGGACCTGAAGAAAAGTCTTTGAATGATTTATGAAAGGATCGATTCCAAGTTGCATGAAACGTCTAGGTTTTCAGAATATCTGGAACTCTAGTCTCCGGAGACAGTGAGATAGCTTGAATAATTCATGGCCCTCACCTGAACACAGCGATTCTAATCTCTCCAACGACTTCTATATCGCTCTACGTTTCGCGTGAGTGAATGCACGCGCCCTGTCCCTCAATACGTCATATTGCGAGAGAAACTATTGTTATCGCCAAGGTGCACGAGTTTGTCACGCGATCAACCAATTTTATTGCCACTACTGGAAGTAAGAGATAAACATTAAATTCTTAATCCCACGTGAAAAATAATATTGTCTTGTTTATTGCTAGTCTTATCGCATTCTGTCATGGCCATCGAGTTACATTCTGTCTTCAAAGCTTATTGTAAACTCGAGCAGAAAGCTCACGATTGCAAAAATTGCATTGAAATAAATTGAAGTGTTACTTCCTAGTGCTTTATGTTATTATGGGTTTGTTATATCCCGAAATTCGACACCCTACAAATAAGGGAGAGCTGTATACAAATAACAACTTTTAATTTCCATGCTGCATAAATCTATGCTTCATCTTTAGTTTGTGTTTTACCCTTAAGCCTTTAAATTGAAAGTGGGTTTTCTGTTGGTGAATAAAAAGGAACCGTTCCTCTAACTGCAGAATTGTGAAGCAAATTTTAGAATTAGTTCCCCAATTTACTATACTACAGAATACAAGTTGACTTTCTACAGGAACAATTCCACAGAAAAATTAATTCCTTCTCCAAATTTGTCCAGAAATCAAGGATCAAACACGTTATAGTCCCCGAAGGAAACCGACACCACGTGTTAGGAAGCCATTATAAGACCTTCCGCCTTTCATCATTACTGTTTGGACGATTTCTGTTTGTTTGTTATTCGTGACTACACAACAATTATCCAGCTTTAGCGCCAAACCGCACGTGAGGAACGTCATTCGAACTCCCGCCATTTAGACGTGGTTCCATCTGTCGTTAGGAATGGACCTAAACCGTAACGAACAATTATTTTCAGGATAGGATGGCCATTGCGTGTCTATGCATGTTTCCTTAGGTCGTTTTAGTTGTTTGTCCTATTTTCGAGATGGTGATTACCACAAATTGTGGAAATAATTAGTTGGGAAACGAATCAATAGAAGTTTAATGAGGTTTATTTTTACGTTTCAGAAATTTTAGATAATGAAAGACAATTTTAGTGTAGCCGCGACATTTTACACTTTGACGTCGCTTTAATATGACATCAAAATAGAACTTTTGTAGAGCGAGTAGTTTTTATTTCGACGCTTTTTTCTGTACCGAATTATTTAGTTTTGAAACTTCAAGACAATGATTTGGTAACTAGTACTAGACCGGAAGAAAAAAATGGTTACTTACTGAAAGAAGTCTTCTTTGCAATAGACATGATCGCCTTTGGAGAAACATTTGTCGCTAAGTTGGATCTGGCAGTCGGCACATTTCAGACATTTGGAATGCCAGGATCTCTCCAGGACTTTTAATATGAATCTGTCGAAAATTTGATCGCTACAGCCTGCACACGTTGGTATCGCTGAAAAGAGAAAAATTTAATCACATGAACATTTTGATTGGACAGACTTTGAAAGTTAATATAATTAAAATACAAATCTGGATTTTTCGTTTCGTTTTATTCTGTGGGTTAATTCAGATGCAATCTCAGAATGATCAGCTCAATGTCAAAACGAAAGAAAATATGTAGTAGAGAATCTGATATTTAAAAATTTAACAATCCAGAAATTTAGTTTCATTTGTTTTCTATGGGCGACTTCACCTATTCATATGCATTGGGTTATCTCCCTGGGATGGCATTGACTCAAAGTGACGCTTTCTTTCTTGTTGAAAAGTCGAAATTTTCCATATAACATTAATGTTTCGTTTCAGCCGCAAAATTTTCCATTTTATTTATTTTACTAGGAAATAGAAACAAATGGTCAATGAGCCTTCTCGTCTGCAACATTTCAGGCATATTAAACGTTAAAATGTGGTTAATGGCGCGAAATACCGTCGTCTGCTCACAAATGCAGCAGCCGAGAAACTTATTTCATTTTTAACAAATCCCCGTCAACCGTTAGTCGCAGTTAACAAGACGGAAAATTAGGCGGTCAAGCGGTAAATGACCGAATACAACTCAAACTCAAATTCAATAAACGTCACAGCACGTTCACTCCATGAGCACATTGTCAACGTATTTCCCGCTCAATTTTACAAAACATTGAAATACCAGACGATCGTTGAGACCAATATATTGATCACGAATAACCAGACACATTTTTCTGTTATCAATCATAAGTTCTTGACAAATATGTTTATAAGATAACGGCTTGATCTTGTTGTCTGGATATACGAGTTGCATTGGTCGTCTGCTTGGGAAGATATGATCAAATTATTGCGGGAAATTCGGAAAGTAATGTGATTAAGAGAAAAGGTTGACTGCCGTCACGCGAAATTCAACACTTCAAGCCATTAAGCCTAATTCAATTAGCACTTCTTCCAAATGTGGTTTTTAAAATCCACTCCAATTTTCGTTCCAGACGTCAAAAGAAGGCCACCAAAAGAATGTGACATATTTCCAAACCGGTCTCAATTATTTCATAAAGAGTAAAGAACTATAATCGAACACGACTTACAATATTACGACATTTTATTTACCGGCGAACATTCTATAAATAAATTATTAATGTTTCGTTTCATGTTTGTGAAAAATGAACGTGAAAATATTTTTTACGAAACGAAAGATTGTGAAATTTCAAAGATGAAAAGAAGCATAAGATTGTCACATTTTCAAATTGAAACTAAATTAAAAAAATGTAGAAGTTTCTAAAAAACGGCAAAAGAAAGAATTCTCACATGAATATTTTTTTTTAAATGAAAATATCAAAAGCAAAGTCTAAAAAGTCGGACCTGATTTCTTCAGAAATTTTAATAAATAAAGTACCATGTCGACCCTTCTTCCATGTTTGTTTTAGAAATCTGACTTCGGGAGTCAAATTCCTTTTCAAATCCGAGACATTTAGAAATGTACGCCTTTTCAGTTTTCGTCACGAATGGCAGTGATCCTTTTAAAACCCAAATCGAATCCGGGAAAGCTCTTTAGTATTTTAGTAATGGATATCCAGTCTTTTTTTACAGAAGAAATAAACAGAGACTTTATCATGTCTCGATTATTTGGTCACGTTTTGACATGTCAGAAAGTTGCTCCTCGTTTTTTTTCCTCCATTTCGAAATGTTCTGAGTTAATCCCCAAAAAACACTGAAATTTAAAATCTTAGAAGTTGAGATCAGATCTTTTCAAATGTCTTTAATTTCATTAATGGAGAGCGTCTTTTATTTCTATTTTTATTTTGTTAGATTCGTTGGAAAGGTCAGTCTAAAATGAAAAGTAAAAAAATATACCCGGAAAATAAAATGAAATATATTACGAATCGAAAAAATTTGATTTGTGTAAAATTTGACATAAAAGAAAAAAGATTTAATGCTATCAAAAAGAATATCGTACAAAAATTAAACTTAGAAGAAATTTACTCCATGGTTTTTTCCATTTTAAAATTCGTTTTCTGTTTAGAAACCTTTTTAATTTCTTATGTTCCACAATTTATGCGCAGGCATCATAGGTCGTTCAAATTCCATTTGGTAAAAAACTATATTCCAAATAATCTGTTTTGGGTTTTTTTTCGAAATTATTTTCAACTTAGCAAATTAGAAAGCGTTCCAGAATTATCACTAAAGGGTGCAGTGAAACATTCTTCGTTTCCTGTTTTCAAATCAGCCTTTGTTTATCGTTTCCAAATTGTACAGAACTTATCAAGACTATACAATCATTATCAGCCATGATTAATGATAATATTTGCGGATTTTAATACATTAAAAATTACTATAATTCCAGAAAATTAGAAAGCCGAATTAAAGAAACGTGACCTGCATAAAATGTTTGTTCGGAAACAAAAAGACAAAAAGAGATTTCAAAATGACTGAATTACAGTAATCTTTTCTAAATACAAATTCGATATTTTAAAAAACTTCATTTATATTGTCAAGATGTCAAATTAGAATAGTTTCGTTTCAAAATATGTCAGATTTAATATTAAATCTGATTCGGATTTTGAAAAGATTATTTTTATCTTCTGATCATAGCCTGCGGTGACGGGATTGAAAAGAAAGAACATCATTACCCAGCATTACGAGAACATATGGACTAGAAAAATTCATATCTCTATTTCTTTTAAAAAAGAAAATCTATTGAACAAAATGAAAAAATTAAATCCCTTCCGCTTTCGACCTTGTTCATAAATGCAGGGAATTAGATTCTTTCTAATATTCATTAATAATAAGATGCCCTTTGGGGCCTTTTTTGTTCCGTGTTTTAATCCAGTTAGAAATTTATAGGCAACCAAAATGGCCGATGATCGCCAGCAAGCGTTAAGTGGGTGTTTAAACATTATATTAAATATTTAATGAGCGAATGGCTTAACGGTAAACGATCCCAAAACCCATAACCACGTTGGTTAACGTTCTAAACGAGATTATCGTTAATCCAGAACGAGGTAGTGAATCATTTTTATGTACATTGTTCAAACAATGACTGCCTCCATTGATGGTTTTTCCTATATTTCGGATTTTATTATTTCTCGAACGATGAAAAGCCGAGAGGAAATTATTTGGCCAGTTAAAATTAATTAGCACCAAGTTGATAGTTTTAACGCATCTCGTTCAAATCTCGTTGAATAAAAGAGACTCGAGTTAAAGTTCCAAGTGACCATCTGTTGAGTTTGGGCGACTTGAGAAATTAATTTGCTACATTCGCCACTTTTAAAAGGGATGAGATTAAGGTAGCGAATAGGGGATTTTCATGGACAGTAAAAAAAAGTATTTAAATTTTCGGACAGAAGGTACTGCTATGAACAATGCCCATCTAGTTTGATTTCCGAATATTGGAGAGTTAGTTTGCAAATTTCATTTTATTTTCTATGAAATATGATAAGCTTCACATTTTTGAAGATAATGGCGATATTTGTATTGACGCAATTGCATGATTGATGACGTCATAAATCCCAAACTGATTGATAACGTCACAAAACCTTAGCTATGCAACATGGATGCACGATTTCAATGCCCCATTAGAATTATTTTTCGTTTGAGAAATGGAAAAAAATCATTGCTAAATAATCTCAATGAATCTCGGTATTGCCTTTAATAGCAATTGTATGTCGATAGATTGCTGATTTGCCTTAACAAAAAGGTCAAGATCTTCGATGTCATCAATGAATATTAATCAGCATGGAGTGTAAAATATCCTATCATTTCACGACAACAAACAACCAAACCCTTAATTACTAGTTATTGATACTTTAATATCGTTTCGTTTCTTGTTACTCTACTTCAATTAGCCTTCTGTTCCAAAATTTGAGATAACCATTCTTGGAAGCATATAATTATACAGTCTATATTTGCCATTTTAAGATTTCATCGATGGTTTTTATATTTTACTTATCTAAACCGATACAGGTTATATGAAATCAGTGAATATTTCGTTTCTCAAGCCTTTTTAAAGAATCTGTTCGAAACCATTAGACGCGAACACCCAGTAACTTGTCCAATTTCCAAAATCAGTGAAGTGAAAATAATATAATGAAAAAAAAAAATTAATACCGCACTATTATACATCGTATGATATAAAACTGTCAATCGATTTTGATTGTGGATTAAGATTGAGACTTGTGTGTTTGTGTTGTTCAAATTTTTAAAAACTGACAAAATGACATAAAGCTTGAGGCTCTTCTTGCGAAATGTGGATGAAAAGAAGCAGTAGGCGATCAGAATTTAAGCGTCTTATGTCTAATCTTGTAGAACTGTTCCATGGGGATAAACATAACCCTATTAGGGCCTCATATAATCCTGTTCTTAATTCTGTTATATTTTCGTTACGACATATTCCACAATCGTTGAGTTGTACGAAGCCAGTACTCAAAAAATATTTTTTGGAATAAAGTTTTGAATTATTTCTTTTGTGAATTTTCTGTTTGTTTACAAAATGTACTACACCAATGTATTAAATAGCTTAGTAATTAATTCGTTTCGTATTTTATAACAGTTATAAAATTGTACGTTGCCATTTCATGTTGACTCCCTTGGTGGCTATTAAGTAGATTAAATTGTTCCGTTTCATTATGTTTTGATTTTTATTGGAATGCAATTCTTATTACTCTGTGTTATTGACAAGAGCTCATTTCATGCAACTGGCGTGAGTTTCTGATACCCAATCCTAATCAGGACATCTAATTTTGGAAATAAGGTTCCAAAGCTTGACCAAGAAGTATGAATAAAGTAAGCGAGCTCACCGAAGGGGAGCAAGAAAAATATGACTGAGAGAATTGTTAGGTATAGTAAATTGCATATACTTTGGTTTCCGGTATGCGTTGCGAACAAAACAAGTAATGAAAATAAACAAAAACAAAATATTCTTCAATGATTCCAGATAACTTTTTCGTATGGAAAATAGAGATAATATTAGAATTAAGGTTAGGTTTACCTT